CTCTAAATATGCAGGCATCAGCGTCAGGATCAAAACCTCGACCAGGCGAGGTAGTTAACATCTCACCACCGTGGCGCCCTTACAACCCACTCACAACCGCTCATAACCAATCAACACCACTCACCCTTCCAGTCTCGTAACTGATTTAAATGTTATCTGGGACCTCTCCTCCACTTTATAAGTTAGCAATTCCTGTATTTGTTTGCCCTTTGGGAAAAGTGGGATGGAGTGGTGGCGCAGCAGTTGGGGCACTGGGCTCTGAATCCAGTGGCTTGTGTATCGATTGCCGGCCTTGGCTAACACCGGTGATGGTCACTATCAGAACCATTCCTGGATGTGCCCCCTTCTCCAACCTGGCATGACCAGTGTGGTGAAGTATGGTCAAACATCTATAAACAAAGGGTTGTAAGTGATTGTATGGGTGAAGGTGACCCGACTGATCCTCATAGCAGCCTGGCCATTACTCTCATCCCGCCTGCATTGGTGCAGCCTCACCTCATCAGAACTCTCAAAAACAGACTGTTTTCTTCTCTAAAAGTACATGAGAAATTGTTATTTTCTCCCCAAACAACAGAGTAATGGTGAAAATAACTCCCTGACATGGTCTGTGTTCTCGGCAGACACCAAATTTGATTTAGATGAGGCCTGGGAATCGCAAGGTTCCAAGATCGATATCAAACTGAAAAACTCAATATCGTATCTAAGTTCATCGATCTGGGTTTTATCCGGAGGTCCCATCATTGAAATGCATTACCGGCCTGCGGGGACGCCCGTGAGCTGATTGCAAACGCCGCGTTTCCCGTTAACAACTGGGCCAGGTAATCACCGAACCCCGCGGTTTGTTCACATTGGAGCATTGTCAACGGTGAATTTAATGTCAACTGTTTTCGGAAAGAACGTGAGTGTTTTGGGTTATGAAGTGACCGCAGTACACGAACGCAGCGCCACGGCCATTTAATTTTTTTCTCGTTCGGCGATTTTGCACACTTACATTGCGGTTGACCTTTTGACGGAGGTGGGGGGAGCCGCACGCACAGCGTTTTGGTGCACCGCGCTACGAACCCAGCAACAATTTTTTTCGACTCCTGAGTGATGATATCTGAAGAGATCCTGATGCCCCCTGAACCACCGCCCCACCCCCCTCCCTACCGCCATGACCAACCCTGCACTGAAAAGCGCAGGTGAAATATGGTCAAACAACCCCCATGGGCCAACACGACGTGAAGGGGTCTTCATGCAGCCGTGGAATTACGTTTGCAACGTCCGAAACCTCTGTAACCTCTGTAATGTCCGTAACGTCTGTAACCTCTTTAAGGTCCAACATACGTAACGTCCCTAACCTCTGTAACGTCAGTAACGTCCATAACGTGTGGCATTGTGGGGGTCGCCGGCGCGGCTCGGTTCACGGTGGTAACAGCCGCACGTTTCCTTCCGCGCGCCAACACTGAAGGCGGCCGTGGACAACCTTGAGCTCGGCGGGAGGCGAGGGACGGGCTCCCTCCTTTCTTCTGTCCGCCTCGGGGACTTCCGGCCGTTTGCTCCGGCGGGTGAGCCGCGCCGCGCGTGTCGACAAAAACCCAGCAGAATTGCGTCGTTTGCGCGAGGGTTCCGGCTTTCGCTTCCGTAACGCGATGTCGTCCGCGCCGTGTGACCGAAAGGCGGGCCGACGCGCGTCCACCGCGTGCGCCGCGGTTCTTCTCCCGCTTCCCGAGCGGCGCGGTGTTTTCGTTCATTTATAATTCACGAGCAATAACACGCCGACCGTTATGGCACGAGACACTGGAGTGGAAAAAATAAAGAGAAACAATAAAAACCTCAAAAGCCGCCCCCGATGGTGGCTAACGCTGCTGAAGTCGGTGAGGCGGGGGCGTCTCGACGCTTAAGGGTCCGGCGGGAAAACACCTGCGCAGATGCGGAGCGAACGAGACCTCTCGGATCCACACGTCACGATCCAGCCGGGGCCCCTCGGCTGGCAGATGTCACGGCACCTAATGAGCTGGCTCGGGGTCATGGTGAGCGTGCGTGCGCGCACGCGTGCCGGGAGCACGGCTAATTGGGTTCTCTCGGCCCTCCCCGGAGCCGTGCCACGCGTGGTGGGGCCGCGCCTGTCGCCGCCGAAACGCGACGCCGGCTGGCACGTGCGACGATTCGCGGTGCCCGGGTGCGCGGGGGCCCTCGGGCGGGGGGAAAGCGGGGGGGGGGGGGGGGGGGGGTGGACGTGGGGGTGGGGGGAGAAGGGCACGGGCGATTCAATTTGGCTTCTCAGCGTGACCGCCGTGGCCTTGTTCGAACTTTCCGCGCCGACCGGTGAGAGATGTAATAAGCACGAGATGAGATTGTAGCCCTTTTCTCTGGGGGGCCATCGCGCTCCTCCGTGGCAGCTGATAAACATACCGGTCGGCGCTCTGCGGAGAGCGCTTTGCTTTCGGCGGCTTTTTTGCTGCACGAGTTTCGCGTCCGTGCGCTCGCGAGCGGCGGCGGGTTTGGGAGCGGCAACGCGCTTGCGGCAAACGGCGTCGCAAATATGCTTGGTATTTACAAAATAATTGGTCTCATTTTGTTGACTATTATGTAACGGATAATAAAAGAAAGAACGAACTGCACCAAACTCTGATCACGAACGCATTATGCACATCTTCCACCCGAAAAGTGCTTTCCTGGGTGTGAAATTGATCAAATTGCCGCTCCGCATGCAGGCGGCACAGGCAGTTTTTCTTTTTTAAGGCCTCGGTGCGCGCCCGTGTCCTCATTACATCTCCTGCGGTGCCTAACACATCCGGACAGGGTGCCGGGCCGCCTCATTAACCACGCGCGTGTTTACATGCGCGACGGGCACACGCGCCGCTCGCGAACACGAGACGGCCGATCATGCAAATCAATTAACTGGCGTGGGGCCCGCGAGGGTGCCCCGCGACCCGGTAGGTGTGTGTGCACTGGGCCTCGTGCGCGCACGCGCAAATGTTGGTCGACTCGGCCTCGGTTGCCTAACACTGCACCGCCGGTTGTGGTGAGGGCCACTCTACCGCCTCGTGCACCGTACGGGTTTTTAATTGGCGCCCACTAACAGTACTTGCCGGCATTTTGTTAAAGGCCATACAGAGGCGGTGGGGGGGGGGGGGGTTGGAGGGGATCTGTCATCTTTGGCTCTGTGCAACAGTGTGTCCGTACGTGCGCGTGCGCCATAGTTAGAGCCACGAAGGGAATTGCACACGGATATTTCGGCGGCCAATATGAGGATAATTTGGACCGATCGTTAAGTGGCCTCACACAAAGATCAATTAAATATTAAATGGCAACTGCGTTGGATGCTTTGTGCATCACGCGAAGACAACGGGCATCTACGATGATTTCTGCAGCGCCGTCTGGTTGTCATTACGGATGTGGGCACCCGGTCGCCTCCCATCTGGCCGCTAATTCCAAGATGCTCTGCCCGTCCTGCCGTACGTTACAGTCCGTGCCCGTTCGTTCTCTCCTCCTCCTCCTGCCGGCTCAATTGAGACGCTCCAATCTGGTAGATAACGGCTCACAAGGGGCTGCTGTGGGAATCCGTACGTCACTGTCGGCCTCCCGTGGGGTGGGGGGGGCGGGGGGGTGAGCGAGGCCACCGTGATGGGTGGGACGCTGGCTGGGGGGGGAGGTGACTCTCACAGAATGGAAGTATTGATGTTGTGCTGGCGCTGATGGAGAGGTGCGGGAGATCAGCGGCGACTCGCACATCGCTCTCTCCCCGGTCGCTGGCTCGCCGGGACCTTTGAACTAATTAAATTGGTCTCCAGTGACGGATCATGTTTGAAATGTTAATTATTTACGAGGTTTTTTTTTTTTTGTTAACTCCTTAATCACGATCATTTATTTATCAAACAAAAAGGGCCAAGATTGAATTTTTTTTTGCCGATGCGTCAATAAACCCACCGAGAACGTTGAGGCCTCTCTGCATTCAAACGCTGCGTCTTTGTTTGGGCAGCGCGAGCACGCTCATCGGCGTAATTAAACCTGCACGGGCGCTAATAGAAATGTGCGGAGTGATCTCCCGTGCCCAGAGGGAAAGCGTGATGTGACCTTCATGGAAGAGGTCGGAGTGTGTGCGATCACACCTCCCCTCCCCCAGCCTTCGCAGCCCCCCCCCGCCGCCCTCATTCCTCAAATGAGTGGCGTGTGCGTGCATGCCGGTGGGAGACGCTGCACGTGAAGGAGTTGCTCCATTGCGTCTGGCCGCTTTGTCGTCGCAGGTTCAATATCGCGGACGGCAAGGCTGCAAAAATCTGCTCCCTGCGCGTGTCCGCTCTTGCGCGCACTCCCTTTGTCCGGTTAACTGCCACGCATGCGAACGTTGTGCGTTAAATCTTTATTCGAAAATGTGTTTGGATTGTTTGCTGTGTCGGGACAGGTGATGCTGTTAGCGATGATTCTCGTTTGTGCGACCGTGGGGGTTTTACGAACATTCAAGTGAGTGTTCGTGTGCCACCGGGGAAAGCCGTGCCGGGGAACTACGCTCTTGTGAACCGAATTTTAATTGGCTCTCAAGTTAATTTGCTAAGCTTGCATAAAAGATGCAACACTGATTCCACGGGATGATGGCCCAGGGCTCTTCAGTGACAGATCAAAAGACACGCGTCTCGTTGAAATTTTCCTTGAGCAAGCAGAATGCCGCGGCGCGTGTTGGCGAAACTTTTAGTGCGCGGCGTGCAGTCGGAAAGATCCCCCACGCTCGCGTAGCTTAGACTCTCGACAAAACCAACTCGGTTTAGCTTCGGTGGCACGGCGGGCATTTTTTCGTAAGCCACCGCATCAACTCGGGTTGGAGACGCTGCGCCGGGGAGCTTCTCGGCGTGAAGTGCGCGAACAACGCCGTCGCGGCACGGCGGGGCTTTGGCGCGGAGCAGCGGCGACAGGGAGCGTCCAGCTGGTTCAGAAATAAATACTAAAATACTCCGCCGCCCGTGACCGCCCCCCCCCCCCCCCCCCCCCCCCCCCATGTCGCGCCCCCTCTCCCCCTGCAGCTGCAAGACCAAGGTGTACGCGGACGGGCTCCCGCAGACCAGCGTGGTGATCGTGTTTCACAACGAGGCCTGGAGCACCCTGCTGCGCACGGTTCACAGCGTCATCAACCGCTCGCCCGCTCACCTCCTGCGCGAGGTCATCCTGGTGGACGACGCCAGCGAGAGAGGTGCGTGCTCGCGAGTGCGTGTGTGAGCTTACGCGCGCGTGAGTGCGCGTGCTCATACCGGCGTGTTCCCCCAAGCTGCCAGGATTATTTAGATGTAAAAATAAATCCATTCGCATCCTCAGAAATTTACCCTGGAGATATCGTGTGTGCAGGTAGCAGTTAACAGCTGTTCATTATCCCGTGGCGGACGCGCCGGAGCCACTGCGGGCACGTGGCTGCATTTGTCAAACAACCCCCGGCTCGTGTTTGTAAATTATTGAGCGCGAGTGCGAGCGGCGGTCGTGGTGGGTCCGGGGGGGGGCGTGAGCCGCCAACGCCAAGCCGTGGTCGAGCCCCCTTGGTGGGGTGGAGGTGACGCGTGCGCAACCCTGGCGGAGCCCCCTGCGTGTGGACACCGGGGGGGTATGCAGGGGGTGCCCCTGTCGGGCTCGGCCGACACGCCTGCACTACCAACCTCTGTGGCTCATAGCCCCTGTGGCTTTTAAAAACACACAAATTGGTTTGCTGCTCACATGAGCATGGGTGGAATTGAATTCTTTGTTTACAGCCCTGAGATGGGGTTGGAGAATTCCATATCGTTATTGTCGTGGGCGGGGAGTCTATTATTGCCGGGGGGGTGATTCTAGCCATAAGACAAACAATGTTGACGTCTTAGTAAGCAGTTGCCAACTTATCAACGCCTCCCAAAGGAATGTTGGGATGAGTTGACGACTGATTTGAATTTGTGTGGGCTGCGTGTTATAGCCACCGAGTCACCTCGGCAGACTCTTAACTGTTTAACTAAATGATAAAGTGACGTATTTTTGGGTCAGATCGCGTGAGTAAAATGTGTGTTGTACACCCTCCTCCACCCAGCACCAGTGTGTTGTTGGAGGGCGATCCGCAACATTTAACCACTGGGTAGGCTGACGTTCAGCTGGTAGTTACAACGAGCATCATCAGAAATCTGAAAAATGTCCTCCAGTCTTGGGGCTTAAATAGGTAGTGTCTGGTGGAGGAGGGTGCACGACACACATTTCACTCGCGCGACATGACCAAAAAATTTATTACGAATTACAATATTGGTCTCAAAAGCCGACGTGTTGAATGAAATAATTTGTCTGATTTTTATCACAACAAGCAACAAACGCCAACCTATGCCGTTCACCCTCGCGCTCGGTTAAATGAAGTAACTTCGTTTTAAGTGTCCACGTCCAGAGCTATTGAAATTAATAAAGAGGCGTATTTTTTATGACGGTCGTTCACACTTCAGCGTTCCGGCAAACCGCGCTTAGGGAGCGCGGCCGTGAACGTGCCACTCTGCAATGCTGCGCACCCCACCCGTGTACTCGCTCGTGCGCACCTTATTCTTATGCCAATTCCTATTCCTACGTTTAATAACACTGCATTCGTGCTACAACAACATCTGCGCACCGCCGTTCGCCACTGAGTGGCGGCGATGTCACCGCAGCGCTTGTGCCGGCTCGGCGCACTTTGAGGGCACGTGAAGTGTTCGCTGACAGGAGGCCACACGGGATACCCACTTGCGCGGCACCAAGGCACGCGGTACAGCACTTGCAGGTGCGCTTTTATGTTTAGCCAGTAGTGTGCCTTCATGATTAGTTTATTTTGGGTCAGATCGCCGTGGAGGTATAATGGAAAACATCTTTACACTATAACCTTTCACCAGCCGACAGAGCCTATCAAAACCAGCAGGAAGAGGAGGAATGTTGCAAAGTTAATGAATCAAATCAAGGTCACAATTGGGAGGGTTCTAGTTGAAATGTTACATTATACCTGCGCGATGACCTAACCCAAAATAAACGAATTGTGAATCATAATATTTGTCGCGAATGCCTGCGTATGAAACAGCACCTCGCCGTTGGCGCCGGCGTCTCCGAGATGGGGTTGGCGGTACCAGCGGTGCCCATACCCCACCGTGATCGCTGTGCCCGCGCGTGCGAGACGGACCCCGATAACTCTGCGACCGCTGTCACGGCGAGCGCCTCCGAAATGGCTCCGCCGGAGAAGGAAAATGCTTTACAATTTGCCAACTTGGTACGGCTTCTGAACGCGGGAAATTTACGTTCAATCTTGCGAGCGGCTTGTGTGTTGACCCTGCCGCTCGCCCATCCCCCCCGCGCATCACGTTGCCGAGCGCTCTACCTCCCTCCCCATGCCTGCCCTAGTTGGAGTGATGATTAGCGCCTTTACGCTTCATGACTGTCCCTTAATATGACCCACGCCAATAGACTATCGCACTGTAATTGGGTAATATTGTGGATTTATTTTTTTCCAAGGCCATTGCTGCAAAGGGCTTGATGGGTTTTTTTGGGGGGAATTATATCTTCGAAGGTTTTTTTCCTTTTTTCTTTCTTTCTTCCGCTTAAAATCATCGCCGCATACGGCGTGCACAGGCCTAAAACCATCGACGTTGTTGTGCAAGCCCAAAAAGGAACTCTTTAATTTGCTAGATGACCCATCAGTTTGGGATGTTAACTACCTCGCCTGGTATACAGGAGGTCGTGGGTTCGATCCCGACCCTGAGACGCCTGCTGTATATTTAGACTTTGCATGTCCTCTAAGTGGTCACGTGGATTTTTCTCCGGGTCCTCCGGTTTTTCCCTCCACATGAAGAAACATGCGTTCCGGGTCTTTGGCTGTTATACATTTGCACAAGACGAGCCACTTCGTTGAGCTATCATTCGCGGCCAGGTCGCTTCTGAAAAAGAGCTGTATGGCGCAGTTGGCCTAACCTGGTAAAATGTAAATATATTTCTTGAGCTTTTTTACGTTGGCGACGATCCGTTATTAATGCTGGCGCAGCACGAGTGGGCGGTGGGGCCTGCATCACTCATAACCCCCCCCCCCCCGCCCCCCCACCCATGCTTCTGATGACCGCACCGGGTCCGCACGTTCAGGCCGGGTAAACCTTGGCAAGGCGCAGGTTGAGTCGGGTCCAGAAAGCGATTGCCGTGCGCGGGGGGGGACAGGAATTGAACATCTCACGCTGGGCTGTGGTAGCGCGGTGCGCGTGAACCCCAGCTCTGCGTCGTTTCAGTCCTTGCACAATGTGCAGTCGGCCCTACGTGGAGTTTGAAGCATCGAACAAACGTAGATGCTGGCAGGAGCCAAAAAGGAGTTGTGAAATGCCCGTGAGAAAATAAAGCTCGTGAAATCCCTCGTGGCTGAGTATGATATATAAATGGGAGGAGGAAGCACGGATGCCACCCCCCGGACCGAGGAACGTTGCTGATTTTTCAACGAGCCCACCGCCCTAATTCAACTGAGACGTTTATGAAAAATATAATTATAATGAATAAATAAATATACATTTTAAAAAATGACCAGCGGTTTATAATTTCCTAATTTCATAACTGTCCACCCTGCTAATGAATGTGCTCGGAAAGTGCATTATTATTATTATTATTTTGAAATCTCTGTTGTTGACGTTATTTCTCTACGCCTTTTGTGTTTCCCCCCCCCCCCTCCAATTAAACAATCGCTGACATGACTGTGAGCAGAGCGCACGCGCGGTCTCCCACAACCGCGGCTGCGATTCGCGCACGCTCCACCCCCCGCCGAGCGAGGCCGCAACTCACCTTGCCTCCGCTGGCCTCCAACGTGGCTCCGTGAACGTTTGCCTCTCGCGAATCGACTCGCCATGCGCATCCCTTTCGATGACCCCCCCCCCCATCCCCCACCCCCGTGCGCGTGCCGATACACGTCCCGCGATTGGGGGACGCTCGGCTAATTGGGGCGCCGAAGCGACGATTCACCTGCGCGTCGCGCAGCTCCGCGCTACAAGGCCTCGCGACGATTGGAAATCTGCGTGATTCATGTGCGTGAGCCTGCTTGTGTATTATGCATATATATTAGATTGTGACAGATGCTTTCGCGTGTGATAGACACACTTTGCATATTATTCATGCGCTCGCGGTCGGTGTGGCGCATATTGCATGGCGCTCCGGTGTTTTCCCATCCAGCCAACGTGACGCGCTGACATCTTTATGTTAGCTCCTGGAAGCGGTACAGACAGCGGGGGCCGGCGGATTGACCGAGTGCGCGCCGCCCGAGCCGGATTGTCTGCCGCGCGGTGCCAGGGAACGGTGATGGATGGCAGAGTCGGGAGGGCCGTGTGCCCTGATAGGATGAGGGATGTACTGCGGAGCAAGGGGAGAGTGAGCCGTCATACGATCACCCCTGCTCCCCGCTAAATCCTCGCGATGGGACCGCGATGAAGACGGATGGAGGGGAAGGTGCGCGGCCAGGGGGTGGGGCTGCCGCGCCCCAGAATGGAAATCTCCCCTCCTTGCGTAAAAATCTCCTGCGTCAAACACCTGCTCGCCTGGCAGCCTTTTATCCGCGCGGGGGCGTACGTCAAGGTGGTTTTTACAACTCTCGCCGCGTTTGCTTAGGTTGGGATTTTTCCCCCTCCCGCTCGCGCCGCGAGTTCCCGCGTTTTCTGCGTACGCCGTTGTGTGCGCGTCGCCACGTTGGGGCTGTCCGGAATTCGCGAGTGAACACCCGCGCGCGCGCGCGCGCGTGTGCGTGTGTGTTCGGCCCTCCCCACTACCATTCCCCCATCTCTAATCCCTGTCCACCCTCCCAAAAGCAATGTTCAGATAATTGCTTTCTCCAAAAGGTATTGTTGTAAAGTTTATGCGCTGAAGAAGATACTGCCGTTGTCTCTCTGTTTTATACATATATAACAAAACACACACACACACTACATAGACACAACTTTATAAAAAGCGACCCCATTGGTGGCAAGTCATCTGTAATTGCCTGTCGCGCAAGTGAAAATCCAAAGCTGATGCGTCTTTTAAACGATTAAAACTTGCCCATCTAGCAAAGGAGGCTGCTCTGTCTCATAATCATCGTTGTCTGTTTCCTGTAATAACACACGAGTCTGATAGACCACTGCCCAAATGAACAGTGGCGTCCGGCGTCAGCACGGTGGCATTTCCACCCTCCGATGGAGGTGACCCATTTCCCGAAAGGGGTGAGAATCGGCTCAGCCCACCTTACCCTGCAGGGACGATGGGCCGAGCCGACCCCCCCAACCGAGATTTGACCTTGCGACCCGTCTGATTGTGAGTCGGGAGGTCCCTACCACAGCTCCACCCAGCTGGATACTCCAATAGTCGTAATCATAATAGACAGCGACTAACAATAATAAACGACAAAGCTGTTGTTGTCGTCAGCATGCCAAATGCCGTGACAGTTATGCGGTGACCCGGTGACGTGTACAGCTGTATTTCCCATGCCCCCTGACCTCTGCCTCCATACCCCACGCCCTTTTCCCCACCGTGCTCCCTTCTCGCTGCCCTATGCACTCTGACCCATACCCCGTGACCCGTGTCTCCCGCACCACCTCCTTCCGCGCCCCGCCGCCCCCCGGCCCCTCATCCCTTCTGCGCTTCGCCGTTTGCCCGTTGCCCACTCGGCCTGCCCCAGACTTCCTCAAGAGCCGCCTGGAGGAGCACGTGCGGGCGCTGGAGAAGCCGGTGCGAGTGCTGCGCATGGAGCGCCGCTCGGGGCTGATCCGGGCGCGCCTGCGCGGGGCGGCGGTGGCGCGGGGCCAGGTGATCACGTTCCTGGACGCGCACTGCGAGTGCACCGCCGGCTGGCTCGAGCCGCTGGTGGCGCGCGTGGCAGCAGGACAGGTGACCGCCAGCATGGCGCGCGGTCGAACGCTCCTGCCGTTGTCTCTGCCCCTGCCCGCCTGCGCGATTCGATGGGACGGCTACATTTTTTAGCTCCTTGAGTCGACGCTCTGGAGGATAGTAATGATGATAATAAGGACGCACGTCCGGCTGTTTTGGGGGGCTGGTGGCCTGGACGAGGCTGGAAGGCGTCGTGCATGCAGGGTGGTGGTTACGTGGCACGCAAGGCATGATGGGAGTTTTGCGATCATGCCTCGGCTTCACGACGGGGTCTGAGTTTCCCGGGTTGTAACCCCCCTCGCGCCAAGAAAATCGAGGTGCGACCCGCGTAGTCAGTTTTTCGGTGTCTTATTTGTACTCTGTGTGCACTCCGTTGGTCTAAACCCTATCCATTTGCATATGATGTGCATCAGTTCGTATACAGCCATTGTGTTAATCTACTGCTGGTTGAGGGCCTCCCCCATGGCGGATAGTTTGTGGGTGGGGGGGATGGGAGGCTATAATGTGCGAAATAAGAAAATCTGATTTTCACGCGCAATTTGATGCGTATATTGTGAGCGTAAGAATCCATTCGATTGATGAATCAATGCTTCATTACACGCCTAGTGTGTTAAGCAACTGGCCATAGGTGTTTTGAATTGGTATGTGAGGGCGTTTGAAGGCGTGAGTTTTTATAGACCGAGGGTTTTGAAGTGGTGCTGTTTTATATGTCAGGACGACTAACAGTGTAAATGTTATGGGTCGGATTTCTTTTCTATCGGTAAGATTTTACACGCGGCTGCCATACGTACGTGCGTCGGTGTGGTCCTGCCGGACAAGCTGTGCCTTCCCGGAGGTCCATGGAGCCCGGCCGTCGTGCATCCCCAAAAGGGCACCGCGTCCAAACAAAAAGCCCTCTCCGGTTTCACCTGCTCACCGGTCCTTCGCCGGTCCTCGCTCGCGCGTTAACCCACACGTGGCCCGTCGCGGCGGTCGCTCTTTAACCTCTGCCGCACCCCCGTGTGTGCGCGTGTGGCCGGGAGCAGGAAGGCCGTGGTCTGCCCGGTGATCGACGTCATCAGCGACGAGACCTTCGAGTACCTCACGGGCTCCGACATGACCTACGGGGGCTTCAACTGGAAGCTCAACTTCCGCTGGTACCCGGTGCCGCAGAGAGAGATGGACCGGCGGAAAGGGGACCGCACCCTTCCCGTCAGGTGAGAAGGGGAGACCGAGAGGCTACTGTCGTCCGTGCAGCTGGTCGGGGGCGGGCGTCAGGTGGTGGGCATTAAGCGAGAGGCTGAGAGGCCGGGCCTGCGGTGGTGGGAGAGCCGCACGGTGGGTCCACGGGACGCTGTGTGCGCATCGACAGGGCGAGCGGAAGCAGGCGGGAGGAAATGGGAACAAGGGGAGGAGAGAGAGAAGGCAGGCGGCGGAGACTGAACGAGCCGGTTGATTTTACGAGTAGTGGGCGGGAAAAGAGTTATCGATTTCAAGGGGCGTCTCACATTTTGGTGGGAGGAGTGGGGTTTTGGGGCTTGCGTTGGCGAGAGCGTGTGCTCGCGAGATTGAGAGGGGGAGGCAGCGATCCGTGCCGGCACGCCGTTTGGCCCAGGGTGGTGCGTTGTCGCAAACATTTCACCCTTTTCGTTTGGATGTCATCGGGAGTAAAGAAAGGACGGGTGTCGGGTTTTATTTTTTTAATTTCTTTCCGAGATTGCTCTTCTCGGGATTTCATCAGGTCGCTGGGCTATTACAGGAAGGTCGTCAGTGTCTTATTGTTGTGTATTCCCCAAATAGAAACCGCTCTGCTCTGTGGGGAAATAAATAAATAAATTGGCAGCTCCGTCGCATGCCAGCCCGATCCCGCGGCTTCGACTTGCACGTGACTCGGGAAGCTCGTGCTTCAATCGTTTGCGTTTTCCAAAAAGTCTCCGCCCTCAGTATTTCACGCTGCGAGGTGGACACAAACAAAAAACTGGTGGATTTTTGAGTTGGACTTTTATGGAGACATGAGCGCCCAAATAAATGACGGAAAATCTTTGCATATACATCACAGCGCCGTTCCCGCCGCTCCCAGCCACTGCATCGCATCACCGCGGCCAAGACTGATGGCCGTGCCGCGCGATGGCGGGGGGGGGGATGTGGTCAGGCATGGAATTTCCTGGTTTACCATGAAATATGGGCTCCGTTTACATCACACGCATGGTTCCGCCCGCCCATTGCCGTCGCCGCTCTTCAGTGGCGACGCACGAGTTGTTGTTTTTTATCTTCTCGGCGACTGCTGTGAAAGGTTTCTTTATTCTTTATTATTTGAGAGCCTTCTTTCTCATGCCGTGCTCTTTTTTTTCAAAGCCCGTTGTAGTGTCAGTGCCCCCTGGAGGCCCTGGCTCTGCCGAATACAGTACACACACATGCATTGCAAAGGCTGCCTTTTTTGTGCGCTTCCCCGTCCATCGCTCATCGCGAGGCCACTTTAGCCACGACCGCCACCCGGTGCCCGCAGTGATGTGTTCTTTGACAATTGGGGCGTGTGCGAACCCGCTTGCTTTGCGGTGCTTAGTTTTGCCGCTCTGCCGCCTCGGGCAGTGAACACAACGTTCTTCCTCGCCTTTCACGACGCTTTTTTGCCTCCTCGGTTTTCATCACGGCGCGTCTCGCCGGGCACCGATTGTTTTGCGCGCCTCTTTTGCGCGACCGTCACGGCGCGCTTCCGGGGGGCAAAGCAAGGGACAGGTCAATTTGATCAGACGTGCCGCGGGGAGGACCGCCGCTGCTGCATTTGTTGTCTCTCGCTCTCCCCGAGTTATGACTAATGAGGGCTAAGCGCGCTGCCGTCGAAATTGGACCCGAGCCAGATTTGTTCAAACAGCCGCGGACTATCTCGTTTTTGGGGGGTGGGCGGGGGGGGGGGGGGGGGCGACGTGCGGCGGTGGGAAGGGCGGGCACTGGATTACGTCGCGTCGTGGTGGGGGGGGGGAGGAGCGAGCAGAGAGGAAGGGCGGGGGGGGTTGCGGGGGGAAGTCGGTCACCTCTCCGCGGATGGATGGACGGCAGCCACTTACCTGTCAGGAGTCCTGCTGCTGTAGAAGTCCGGGTCCCTGGGCGGCGGTGCGTGGCTCTGGTGGGGAGGGTTCCGTGGCATCGGCAAAATGATTTCGCTCGCTCGGGAGGAACGGGTCGCGCCAGGTAAAGGACGTAGCATTTGCAGCTGAAAGGTCAGATTCGTGGGATTGGCTCACAGGTAGCGACCCCCCCTTCCCCCGCACGCTGGCGCGACGTGAGCGCCGGCTGGGGCGGCCGCGAGCGCCGTCTGCTTGATATTGTGGCGCCTCACTCCCAGCGGCATCTGTCGTGGCTTTTTTTTTGTTGTTGCCGCGGCTCGGGCGCGTGAATAGTGGGAGCCGCAAGATAGACACCGCTGTTTGTTTGCATAAGTGCGGGCGATGAATAGAGTTGTGAAACATACGTGGCTGTCTTTTGTAATACATGTTACAAAAAAATTACCTTTGTCAACTGCAAAAAATAATATTTCCCTTATCCCGGGCGTGCGCATACGCACGCGCGCCCAACGCTCGCGCGTGTGCAGCCACGTAGCTCGCAGTGGCAGATGCAGCTGACAGATTTTACCATCCTTGCTGTTTTGGCTCACACCTAATAATGGACCTGGCCTGAACACCTGGTCTGTTACACCTGGCACACCACAGCTTCAGACTTAAGGACTTCCCCTCCCCACCGTCGTTCACATCCCGGCTCAAGGCTTCGGACTGTGATTCTGCGAAAGAGCCTTCATTTGCACCTTTGCCATACTCTCATCTCACCGTTGTCTCTCTTCTCCTCTAATCCTCCTCCCTCCTCCCCTTGAAAGAAAAAAATTACGCCTCAATCTGTAAATGATCTCGATGCGCGTGTGCACCTTTTTTGCGAGCATCGTGGGGACGCAGGCACGCGTAGGGCTCCATGTGAATCCCAGTTGTCTTTGCATGAAAGGTTGGGCGAGTTTGAAGGTAATTTGAGAATGTGGCCGGCTCGGCGTGCGGTCGCGTGCGCCTGCAGAAGCCGTCGCAGCCACAGCAGCCACTATGTTTTTCCCCGCGATGCTCGATTTCACAATATGCTGTCCTTCTAATGACACGTTGTCTCCTCCCGCCCTCTCATCCCATCCCCTCCGTCCTCTCCGCCCACCCGCCCGCCCGCCCGCCCGCCCACCCAGGACGCCCACCATGGCAGGGGGGCTCTTTGCCATCGACCGCGATTACTTCCAGGAGATCGGCTCCTACGACCCTGGCATGGACATCTGGGGTGGCGAGAACCTGGAGATGTCCTTCCGGGTTGGTCACCTCTTTCTGGGCGGGGCTGCCACACTTCCTCCCGTGTGCCACGCCACGTGTGTTGTGTGTTCCTGTCTGCATGGTGTCTTTCGCTGTTGTGTTACGGCGTGCCGAGTGTGTGGTGGTGTGGAGGCCAACACTTCCTGGTACGCGCTTGCATGTGTTTGTGTGTGTATGGTCGACTCAGCCTCAAATGAGTAGCTGGTGTGGTGTGTAAACGTCATCACTGGGGAGACAAAGGCGGACGGGCGTGGTGCTGGCCACCCCACCCCCTCGTGTGCCACAGTGCCGGCCTTCGTAGGTGCTCGCTAACAGCACTTGCCCCGACCGTCTGTTAAATGCTGTACGGGGGTTCTTTGTCTTATTAGGTGCCACCACTGCGTGATGGTGTGTGTCGGCTGGTGTGGTGTGGTGAGCGTCTCTGTCGTTTTGCGTTCCCCCTGTGCGCCGGCCCGCTCGGTGTGTCGCAGTGCACGGTTGTGCTGCGCGCGAACTCTGTATGCCGTCCACACGCGCGCTTAACCCCGCGGCCCCCGCTTCTCCCAACTCCGCGGAGCGCGTCGCTCGTTAGTGCAGCAGCGTGTTGCGTTAGCGACTGACAGTTGTGAACGCACGTGCAAAACATAAAACAGAGCTGACCGTGCATGCAAACGAATTGCCTCGGCCGTGCCTTAATCAGCCGCACACTGCTGAATATGCCATTATTATTATTATTTTTAAAATCGCGGCCGAGCGAAAATGGTATGCAAGTGGCGTGCTGTTTGGCCGTGTGACTATCTTGAAGCGAACGTTTCATGCGGCAAGCAGGCCGGTTTACCTGCGGTAACCTTGTGGGTTTAATTAGGGGGCCCGTCCCCTTTTGTAGCGATGCTCTGGGGAATGCCGCGCAGAGCCCTCCCGTCTGCAGGTGTATTATTCCCCGACAAAGAGTCCCCGCGCTGCTTTCATGTGCCAAGCCGAACAAACAGAGAGGGATAATTTATTCATGCTTCTCCGCACCAGCCGTCCCCCCACCACCTCCCCCCCCCCCCACCAAGCAAAACAATCCAACGCCGGTGCCTTTGTTGGCGGTTATCGGCGGCGGGTGGACTCGGCGGAAAGCTGCGAAAAAGGACGGACGGAGTGAAAACGTCAAAAGCGTTTGATTAATTGTGACGAGGCGCTGGCTCGCGTTGACGTGCGTGTGCGCGCCGTTGCTCCGCGGGCCGAGGCGGCGGTGGAACTTGGGTGAGCGGGGCGCAATGGGAAGCCGTGAAGCTCTCATGTATTATGCAGCGCGCAAACATTTTTCGTTACATTTTAATGATTTGGAAATATACTGCCCGCCCGTGTACGTGTGTGTGTGTGTGCGCGCGTGCGTGCGTGCGCGTAGTAGTTACGGGAGGCGGAGGCACAGTGGTTAGCGCACTGCACTGCTGTCCCGGCAACCACAGTTTGATTCCCTTTCATGGCTAACATCGGTGACGAATATCTGAGCCGGTCCTGGGCCTCCTCTAGGTCGACTCCCCTCTTAAATGAGTACCGGGTGCAAGAGACACGGGCGGCCGGATGTACTGCTGTCCACCCGCCTCCTCATGCGCTGTTTCGGGAACAGCACATGAGGAGTACCTATGAAGGCCGGCACAGCACACGAGGGTGGGTGGCAGCACCACGCCCGGCCTAGGGTGAGCCCCAAGGAATGGTCCAGATAATCGTCACCTGGTGTTGGCCATAAGTAGGAATCGAACTCGGGTTAGCCTGTTCGTTGCGCAGCGCGTTTACCGCTACACTACCGCTCCCCCCCCCCCCCACACACACACACACTTATACACACGTATATACACGTATACTCATGTACATTGTTATATTGGAGGTGTCGGTCATTGGCGGAAGACAAGAGGAAATTCCTGAGTGGGCAATGAAAAGGAAGGTGGCGGTGGGGGTCGGGAATTCCAGAAAGGAGGTTAACTGGGTTTTGAAAGAAGGCCTTTGTTACTGGCGCAGAGAACACGTCTTGGAAAGTAGAGAGAGATGAGAGGGGAGAGTTAGGAGAGCACGTGGAGGGGTATTGAGCGAGATGAGAGAGGAGAGGCAGGCAGGGGCCAGTCCATGGACGGTCTTTAAGGCAGTGAGGGCAGGGATCTTGTATTTGACTCATGGTTGCATTCATTACGTCTCTACACGTTAAGCACGTCCGCATATAAATAATAACAATAATCAAATGCAGCCTCCCGCTTGATATTGGCATGGTTTGTCCTCTGGTGTGATGGTAAGGTGTGGCACTGGCATGTGGTGCAGTGTGGTGCAGTGTGGCAGTGAGCTGTAGTGCTGTAGTGTGGCATCGGGGCAGTGAGCTGTAGAGTGTGGCGCGACATGCCACGCTGCGTCGCGCCCTGCGGTTGACCAGCCGGCTGTCCAGCACGCGTCCTGCCCTCCCACTGCCGCACAGCAGAGAGTGATGGCTCTCCCTGCTCACTGCTCACTGGGGCCATTGGCATTCTTCGCTGGCAGCACAAAGGAGCCCTAATGAGGCTCTCGAAAGTCCCCAGAATGCATCTCCATTAGGAGTCCCTTGTTGGCTGCTGAGTACGAGGGAGGGGAGAACACAGTTGGGGGGGGGGATGTGCGATGGTGGTGGATACAGGCGCACCCCACGCTGCTGTCCCACGTGGCCCCCTCCCGCCACAGGGGCAGCCTGGTGCAGACCCCGCGCTTTCATGGCGCGCGCATCGGCGATTCGTCCCACGGCAAATCAGTCGTCGTAATTTCGGGGTCGTGATTTGAGTTTTAAAGAATCGTTGGATTTTTCCGTGGTCGTTTATGCCGCGCCCGTTTGCGTCGTTTCGTCACGTTCTGGGTCGCGAGCGTAAGACTCGACTTTGGTCAATGATTTGAGGCATCGTTACGCCCGCAACACCTCCCTGCAGCACCTACCAATGCGCCATAAATTCCCCTGGGATTGGGGTGGAATCGGCAGAATTGTCCCGACGTAGGAGCCTCGGGTAAGTAAGTGCCATTATGGGTCAACGAAGACTCGTCACGACTGCTTAGTGAGAAGGTTTATCGAGATGTGCTTTTATCAAGTGAAATTAGAGTTCGATTTGCTTTGGTTAGCCTAACAGTGCTTAATGAATCTGCTGCTACATTTTTTCCCCGTGTGTAAATATGTGGTAAATTTGATCCGTGAACTCTGCAGCACGAACTAAATTATTGGATCCCTTTCTCCTCCAGCCGCTCGATTTTGAAGAAGTTACAGTGTCTATGCGAGTGCGCGCGTGCCTGCGTGCACGCGCGCGTATGAGTGCACGTGTGTGGGTGCGCGCGTGTGGGTGCGCGCGTGTGGGTGCACGCGTGTGGGTGCACGCGTGTCACGCCGTGGCTGGAGGCTCGCATCACGTCGAACAGGCAGTACGTGGCCACGGGTACACCCGGGGTTAACAATTGTAAATACGTGTAAACCCGGTCCATTCGACTCGGGGAAGGTGGTGTGGGTCCTGTGGGTCCTGTGGGGGCGATACGTGTCCCGCACGGACCTCGACCATTCCCGCCGTCTCACTGCGGGGCCAGACCAGCTACCGTAAAATGGGTTAGTGATGGTCTTGATGAAAAAAGCACTTATGTTGTGCTCATAAAACACCAAACGGTTATTGCGTCGGCCCTGGAAATTGCCCACGGGCTTTTTAATGTAAATGCGGGTACACGTTTATCTCGTTGCTCCCTGGGAATTACTTGCATTGTAGCTTTTAGGACCGTATTAAACATCGCTCCTTCTTGCATTTTTATAAGTGTGCATTTTTGGCCCGGCAAGAGCCACAAGCGGCAATGCCGGATTTTTTTCTTGCGTCTGCGGAGAGCGCCAGCAAGAGAGCGCCGGGGTGAACGTCGCGACGGCTGCCACTAGTTAACGTGCGGAGCGCAGGCAAAGAGGAATCCGTCACTTTTCTTTTTTATTATCCGATCCCAGAAGGGCGATTATTCGCAGTGGTCACGTCGTCCACTCGTGACCACTCTCGTCCCTTTGTTCTCGCGCTGTACGAGCGCGCGGTGCTTGTAAAGCTTACCAAGACTCGCGTCGTTTTAAATTCCCTTCCGCTCGGCAGAGTGCGGTGCCCCTAGCCCAGGTGCGTTCATGTGAACCCCTCTCTCATTACGGTGTATTTACATTCGCAGTGCCTCGTACCATTTCCCTGCGTTACCGTCAACCAATGTTGGTACGCTTTCCCAAAACGCTCTTCAGCGCGAAGACAAGGGATCGCAAAGGTGAGATTTTGGGCGTCGGGTGAGGGATAATTGCCGATCAGCTCCTCTCCACGGTGGTCATGCCCAGCCGCCACCATCCTTAACCTCCTCCTCCTCACTGATGCATCTGCTGGGGGGTTAGGGGGTGGCGGGTTAGGGAGGATCCAACCTTGATGTCGTGCTTGTGCCGGTTGCCAAGACGACCTGCGGACGACGATAGCGCTGCGAGCGGCGTGCGGGCCGCGGTCTTTCATCGTTTCGTTTGGGTTCCGTTGTGCGGCGCACTTTCGTTTTTTTTTTGCCGAGCGAACCGGACTGGTTGTGCGTGTGTGTGTGCACGCGCATGGTGGCACAGATCTGGCAGTGCGGTGGCTCACTGGAGATCGTCACGTGCTCGCACGTGGGACACGTGTTCCGCAAGGCCACGCCGTACACCTTCCCTGGCGGCACCGGCCAGGTGATCAACAAGAACAACCGGCGCCTGGCCGAGGTGTGGATGGACGAGTTCAAGGACTTCTTCTACGTCATCTCCCCCGGTGAGGATCCACAGCCCACTGCCCACCCCCGGCTGATGAGAACAACAGCAGTCGGCATTACGAGGTCGCGCTCGTTGCACACAGAGTGCTCGCCACAAATGAACCACAACACCTTGCTGATCGCGTCAAGGAGCTTGAACCATCATCACGAGAGGCTCCGGTCATCCTCGCAGCATCGGCTTTTGGCTCGCCATCAAACAAATACGGCGGTCACCGCGTCGCGCACTTTCAGGTGCGCCTTCTGGGGCCGTCTGGAATGTTCTTCCATCTGATATTGGGAAGCCACTGGAGCTATGCACTTTTAAATCATCTCGCTTGAAAACTCATTTCGTGAGAACTGCTTTTTTTGTTTAGTTGTCCTTCCCCCGCATTTACGATGAGCACGGTCGACTGCGTACGGTGCGAAAGAAGTTCGACATGCGTAAATGTATTCATCCCGGATCTCCTCATCACCACCACCATCGTCATCATCAACAGTGATCAATCCACTGCTGGACGGTGGCTTAACGAATCTGTCGCCGTCTCTCGCGGTTCCTGCGGTGCAACAATCCACCCAGCCCAGCTCCTGAACACAACGGCGACTTCTCCGAATTGACGGTGGACGTCCTCTTGAGCGCGTTCACCCCTTTGACTTTCCGCTCCGTCGCTCGACCGCCGGCCACCGTCCCTGCCCAGGCCCCGCTCGCGTTTCTTGACAGTCAGCAGGGTGCCATTCAACCTGATCACGGCAGTCTAACCCGCCACTTATCCAGGAAGCCTCGCCGAGCCTCGCTCCCGTTTCAGCGGAGTTCTGCATTGGGATCTTTTGATCGGTTTCTATTTAACGAGTAATTTTCACGTGGAAGGAAACCGGAGCGGCCGGTGAAAAACCTCACGGACACAATGGGGATGAATGCTTAAAATTCCATACAGATGGGTTCCTCAGCCCACTTGACGGCCACCTCGCAGCCCAGCATGTTTGTGAGTTGCACGAATCTACTTCAATCGATCCTCCAGTCCTTGTCTGCAGAGCGTGGCATCGCAGGCGTTATCCACGTTGACTTGCACACTATAGACAAAGATCTCCTTGATAGCCTTCACAGAATGTTGGAGACAAATGGAGTTAGCGAGCACCTATGAAGGCACATCACACCAGGTACTAATTTGAGGCTGAGTCGACCTAGGGGAGGCCAATGACCGGTTCAGATAATCATCACTGGTATTGGCCGTGGGCGGGAATCGAACATGGGTCGCCGCGTTCGTGGCACGGCGCGCTGACCGCGACACCACCGCTCCCCACTCACGGACACACACACACACAGAGAGACAAAGACAAACACACTGAGCTCACAACACTGAACGTTACCTAGGTCACGCTGCTGCCCGGCTCGTGGAATCCTTCCGAGATGAGCACCGCGTCGCGCACGCTACGTAGGGGGGGGGGGGGGGCACGGGAAGGGACGCGCCGAGACTCGACGCCTCTGCCCGCGATGCACGACCGGCAGCAACTCCAAGTGGGTGGGTGGGGGGGGTGGTACCTGGCCCCCCCCCCTCCTCTTCATCACCCGCTGCCTGAGTCCCCCCCGGGCTGTGGACCTCGGCGCAGCGGCCGCGCGCTCCGTTATCTACGCCGCCGTGCGTCGTCTCGCCCTCAGGTGTGACCAAGGTGGAGTACGGCGACGTGTCGCAGCGCAAGCAGCTGCGTGAGCGGCTGCAGTGCCAGCCCTTCTCCTGGTACCTGGAGAACATCTACCCCGACTCGCAGATCCCGCGCCACTACTACTCGCTCGGGGAGGTGCGTGCCGCTGTCGCCGCCGGTGTATGGCGAGCGCGAGCCTTGCACGCGGGCTGTGTTGGGAGGACGTGGATTCGAGCCCGGGGTCTCGACGATGCCGGCTAAGTACCGTCGTGCACTGGCAATCCTTGCCAGGTCAAGAAATAATGTACTTGTTGTTGCAGTAATTGCATTGTAAATTGTAATATTATTATTATTATTGTCTCCCGTTAAAATGTACGTAAAAGACAAAAATTAACAATGTTAATAAATGCATCGGAATCTTAATCTGGAGCCGTGAGGCACAGATGATGGAGCCGTGCTTAGAACAAGGAGAGATTTGACGTGTCTGTGAAGCCCCCCTTGCCGTGGCGCACATCACAAGTGGACCTTCAGGCTTTGGTTTTGTGCAGAAACGCTGCTTGCAGGCTTCGGCACGAAGCTCGGTCGACCCGCTCGGAGAAAATTCTGCCAATATTTTGCGCAAATGAAAAGAGGCCAACTCCTTGATTCAAAGCAGATGAGAGCCACTCGAGATTACAAATGTTCATTATGCAGAAACGGCCCGGGTATGAACACACGTGTCGTGGATATGAACCCCAGCGAGCTATCGGCAGTAGCGCTATGTGAACGGCAGTGCACGATGCACGTGCTCATGGGAGCGTAGCTCGAGGCCCGGTGTCGGAACTGCTACGCCCGTGATGTAGGACCACCGGCCTCCAACCCTCGCTTGCACGGAGGTCACCTTCACTAGGCCAGATTTTTCCTGTCATCGCATCGTCTTGTGGAAGCACCTTGAAATACCAAAGCTCTTACCTCCCGTAACCTGACCGCCCCTCTCCACTACCTCCTCCTCCCAATCCTCCCACTGTGACACCTCTGCACGATGCGTCACCGTGCCGCGGGAGCGGGCGGGCGGGCGCGGACCGCTGAGCGAGCAAGCAGGGCTCTGGCACGGCTCTCGTCCAAGGGAGCGCGTGCTCGCCCCCCCATTAAGGGCCAGTTTGTGTCTTACACTCCCCGCCCTCCCTCTCAGCACCCTCCCCTGCCCCCACGGCCCCTACCACCTCGACGCTCGGATGCGCAAAGGGCGTCTTCCGATTGTTCGGTGTCTGCCGGGGCCGCGGCGGTGGCGGCGGGGGTGCACGGTAGCGTCGCCGGCGTGAGCGTCGCCGGTTGGGGGCGGCAGCGTTTGTGACGGGAGGGCGATGTCTTTGCGCGCGGCCGGGCGCAGCTGCGCATCCGCTAATGAAGCCTTGACGTGTCCCGTCTGCGCGTCCCTCCATCGTGGTGGACGCTCGCCGTGCGGCAGACGGGACTAATGGCAGATGTGACACACTTCACCAGGTGCACACGCACACACACAGAGAGAGCCACAGCCCATACAATATTCATGAAGCCAAAATTGCACGCAGTTGCAGAGTGAGGCCGGCAGCCTGGTTTTAATCAGCTTCTTGAGCCGAACAGGGAGGAAAATGAATTGGGTCTTCACGTGGGATTTTTTTTTCCAACATACACAAGAACATTTGTGAAATCTGCGTGGGAAAGCATTAATATTTGAAATGAATTCTCCTTGGTAGACTGCATGGAGAGGGAGGTGGGGGAGGGGGTGGTGTGGATTAATAAAACTCGACGGAAAATTATTTTCAAATCTGCATTATTTAAAGTCGGGATTGTACGACGACACTCGGTGCGCGTCCTGAATCAGGCCGTCGTGCGGAGTCGCCGCACAACGTCTCCAAAATGCAACCGGACGCACGAATAAATAAACGAGGAATAATTTATATGCGAACGCTCGCACGCGCAGGCGGGGCGTGCACATGCACGCCCCGCCCGCGCGCACGAGCGGACGCGTCGGTAAGTGCACATTCATAACGCAAACGCGCAAACAAATAGCCCCGTAAATTATTTACAAATGAATAATTAAATGTGCACAGTTTATTTAAATTAAATTAATTGAACAAACAGAGTGGGGACATGCAGGGCTGTCCGCACGCTGACTCGGCGCGGTGAGTGACGGCCCCCCACCGTATGTGCTGCCGTGCCCCCCACCGTGCCTTCACCGTGCCCCCCACCGTGCCCCCATCCAATTCGTTTGGTCTCCTGCTCGCTCTTCCTTCCCGCCCGCCCGCCCGCCCGCGGTGCAGATCCGCAACATGGAGACCAACCAGTGCTTGGACAACATGGGGCGGAAGGAGAACGAAAAGGTCGGCATCTTCAACTGCCACGGCATGGGAGGCAACCAGGTGCGGAGTTTGCAAGAACTTGCAGGGGGCCGGGGAGTTGGGAGCGGACGGCGGCACCTAGCGCCGACTCTCGCGTGCCCCCCACGCTGCTTCGTCACCGCGCGCGGTCGCCCCGCGCCCTCGCGTCGCGGGGCTTCGACACACGGAGCACATTTCTGTGCCTGTGGTCGGCTCGATGAGCCCCGTCGGGTCCCCAGGCAGGCGCTCCTCCCGGTGAGCCTCGCCGGGTGCTTTTTACAGAAGGCAACGTGTTTGTTGGCATTTTCGTCGGGTGCCTGGGCCGGCGGGCGAGCGCAAATCTGTGCTTTTCACGCCCGCCCCTCCGAGCGCTTGAGAGGCCAGCTGTGAGGCGGCGCCCTGTCTCCTGTGCCCGTCTATAGCTTGCGCGACTTCCGCTAAGCTCCTCCACCAAATGACATCGCCTCCACCAAATGACATCGCCTACAAGCCGATGTGAATTAATCCCGGGCTAGAAAAATAAAGAGAACGATACAGACGATGGCCGTGGAGCCCGCGTGGCACGCGCGGGCTCCACGTGGCACGCGCGATCCACGTGGCACGCACGCTCCACGTGGCACGCGCGATCCACGTGGCACGCACGCTCCACGTGGCACGCACGCCACCACACTGCAGCTAACGGTCCTCGCTGCTGCACGCACACGCACTGCTCCTAACAGGCAGAGCAGGGTATGCATCCCAGCTCATTCATTACATTGCAGCTGGAAGCGACGGCCGTGTTGAGCTTATGAACCCTAATGAGGTTTATTTTTTGCAGCTGTTGTGATTGTCTTAAAAAAAATAAAAGCCCAAAGTGTTGATGTGACAACATCGGCTTGGGGGCAGCGCTGGTGTTCATAACTCCGAGGCAGTGGTGGGAATTCTACATTCTGTGGTGGAAACAAACATAAACGACACCCGTGAATCCCACAGGCAACTTGAACTAAAGCAGCGTGCGTGTTACCGAACGAGCGTGGATGAAGGGCCGAGTCAACCCCCGAACGGGATCGCTGCCTTCTGATTGCGAGCCGTTCACAGCAACCGCTCGGCCCAAAGTTCGACTTTGTGCAGCGTTAAAAGAACGGCGGGAGTCACGGGCGCGTGAGCCAGCGCTCGGCCTGTCGTGGGGGGGGGGGGGGTGGTGACGTGGAGCTGCGGTGACGTCGTGTGTGTGTGTGTGTGCGCGTGTGTCTGGCGAGTAGGTGTTCTCGTACACGGCGGAGCAAGAGCTGCGTTCGGACGACCTGTGCCTGGACGTGTCGCGGCTGAGCGGCCCCGTCGTGATGCTCAAGTGCCACCACCTCAAGGGAAACCAGCTGTGGCACTACGACCGCGAGGTGCGCACGCCCGCACGCACGCGCAGCAAAAGCAGCCGCCGCTTGCAACCAAGTGCTGGTGATGCCACCGCAGCGCTTGTGTCAGGCTAGGTGCACTTTGAGGCTATCACGTGCACTGCGGAAGGCTCGCTGGCAGGGGTTGAAGGGACACACCCTGATTGCTATAGGTCGACCGATTGAGGTGACTGACAGACGCATCACCCGCGCGCTCCCCGCTGTGCCAACGAGACGAACAGACTGTTGAGGCAAGTGCTGTTCGTGAGCACCTATGAAGGAAGGCAAGGCACTCGAGGGGGTGGGTGGCCAACACCTAGCCTTGGCCCCCTGTGTCTCTCCAATGCTGATGTTGGCACACGGCAATGGGTGCTCTTTTAAAGCCGAGTCGACCTAGAGAGCCCCAGAACCGGTTCAGTTTTTTTGTCACCGATGTTGGCGGTGAGCGGGAATCAAACTCGGGTCGCTGGGTTCGTAACCGACGCGCTAACCACGACACTACCCACAGCACTATCACCCGCACGCGCGCACACATCTGTGCACACATCAGCGCACAATATTGGCAATAGCAATACAACTGGTTCGCTTGTTCATGATCCATCGCTATGCACTTTTAAATTGAGGTTCTCCAACTGCATCACTCGCACGTCATCAAACCATCGGTGCTCCATCAGTTTCACGGAGAGTCTAAAGCCGCCCGGAGCGGCCGCTAGACACGCGTTGGGCTGTTGCCGCTGTTATTGACGATGTTAAAGCATTTACCCGCATTTATATACATGTGGTATGAGAGGCAGAGGTGGCCCGTGGGAGCAGTGATGTTTACGGTTTGAATTTTTATCCAGTTTGGATTTACACGGCGTCTAAAACGCAACAGCACTGCAAGATGCTGTGCACAAACAGTCGGCTTTTTTTTTCTAGAGAGGCGGTCAGCCCACAGGCTGTGGCTAAAACAGACAGGGAGTATGGACTGCTGGGGGAAAGCAGCAGGGGATAACGAGCGACCTTCCGCTGAGCAAACGTTGTCCTGGGGACTTCCACAGAAAGCCTTGCACAGTGTGTGGAGGGGAGTAGATGGAGATGAGAGGGGAGAGGCAGGAGGGGGGTGGTGGGAGATGAGAGGCAGGAGAGAGCATGGAGGGGAGTGGTGGGAGATGAGAGGGGAGAGGCAGGAGGGAGCGTGGAGAGGAGTGGTGGGAGATGAGAGCAGAGAGGCAGGAGGGAGCATGGAGGGGAGTGGTGGGAGATGAGAGGGGAGAGGCAGGAGAGAGCGTGGAGGGTAGTGGTGGGAGATGAGAGGAGAGAGGCAGGAGGGAGCGTGGAGGGGAGTGGTGGGAGATGAGAGGCAGGAAGTTATAAAAAAAGAGAGCGCGAGAGAGTGAGCGAGAGCGAGCGAGAGCGACATGGAGTAGGAAGAGAGGGGGTAGAGAGAGGGGGGGGGGGGCAGAGAGAGAGGGAAGGGGTAAGGAGAGCAATGCGAGAAATCTTTTGTTAAATCTTTCATTTAAAAAGGGGGGGGGAGGGGTTACATAAAGCAAAGCATTAAAAAAAACGAAATGATGAACGAAGCAAAGTGCCGACTACACCGAGCATCTTCTTGTTTCCTCTGGTCGTAAAAAAAAGAGAGAGGCAGGAGAGAGCGTGGAGGGGAGTGGTGGGAGTTGAGAGGGGGGGGAGAGACAGGCGAGAGCGTGGAGGGGGGGAGTCGGTGGGAAGAGGTCAGCAGTGTTTCGTGGAGCTGCTGCGCCCTTTGCTGGCGCCCTCTGCTGGCGCCGAGCGCCGCTCGGCTTGTTGTCCCCGACCCGAGCTCGCAGCGTCCTCTAGCGGCGCGCCCCGTGAGTGGCCGCGCGCTGCCGTTCGCGCACGAGTCACAGTGCCCATCCTCCGGTCGACTTTCACGGCCGTTAAACGTTTAGAAGTCTCTCCGTCATTGCGCTCTGGTTCCAGTGGTGCCACGTTCGTTAATACCCGCTCACTTCCTGCAAGCACGCACATCCACGTTTGACAGACTGGATCAGGCTATGGCCGTAGAGCGAGCGGCGGTTCTCAGAGCGTGGTTCCCCGGTACCACCGGTGGTGGTCCACGACGGTCCCCCAGGTGGTCTGCGGTGCCGTGATGCAAACGCCGGTCGATACGCAAACAATGGCAATGTTTGTATAGCTTTGGTTTCAGACGTTACTTCATATTTTACTCGTGATATTTCATTTTAAAATGATGTGAGATAAACTACCCTGATTGAACTACCCTAAGATCTAAATGCCCCCCACCCTAAAACAAAAAAACGCATAGCTACAGTAATGTGAATGATTTGTACGAGTGTGTAATCGTCGAGCGTTCCTGCTTTCTTTGCCGGACGCGCTGCGTGATGCCGTTGTTGTCGCCCTCCTCCTATCGGCCGGCGTGCGCAGCGCGTGACCCTGAGGCACGTGAACAGCAACCAGTGCTTGGACCGGGCGGGAGAGGAGGACAGCCAGGCGCCCACCGTCCGCGACTGCACCGGCGTGCGCTCCCAGCAGTGGCTGCTGCGCAACGTCACGCACGAGGCGCTCGCCTGAGCCCTGCGACGGCAAGGCCTCGCCGTCCCCGGCAAGGCCTCGCCGTCCCCGGCAAGGCCTCGCCGTCCCCGGCAAGGCCTCGCCGTCCCCGCGTACCTTCGCCGCCCGCCCGCCCACCCGCTTTCTCTGCTCCCTCTCCTCCTTATTTTCCGTCCGCTTGCCTCGCCCTCGCCACCGGGATGCCTGCTCTCCTAGGTCGCGAAGTCGCCGATTTCTTCGGGCCGTTGATGCGGGCGGGCCGAGGAGTCGGGGGGCCTAGCTCTGCCCGGGGACACGAGCCGTGCCGACGGGTGCCTCCACCCGATTGCGGTGGCGGCGGCGGCGGCGACCACCGAAGGGAGGTGGGCGGGCGACGTGGCGGGACTGGAGGCGGTGCGGGAGCCGCCCCACGTCGGGGGGACACTTTGCGAGGCTCTGCGAGAAGAGGCTCGAACGTGGCCGCGTCCGCGCCCGCCTGGGTGTGTGCCACACTGAGCGGAAAAGGAAGGGTAAAAGCAGCAGCAGCAGCAGCAGCAGCAATCTTTCCGGATGTGACTGATTTTGAGATTTTATGACTCGTGAATTGCTGACGAAGATGAGAAGAGGAGGAGCGCCTGATGCTGCCTCTCGCTGCCACTGCGGAGAGTCCCGAAATGCTTATATTTTCTACGGGCTGACTGTGTGACCGATGCCCATCGGTCTTGGCTGACGATCGTTTTGGTGTGCGTTTCTCCTGTTCGTAGGCGAGTGTCTTGGGTGGGGGGGGGGGGCAGGGGTGTTGTGTGATTGGGAAGTGGGGGACAGGATTAATATACGTTTTTAAAAAAATATATAGAACTGATAACAGCTGGCTGGTAATCAAAAGGCGAAGTGGCGTAGGATCACTTGCAGGAAGGTTATTTTTTACGAGACAAACAAAGTAACATGCAAGTTTCTCACACCAGTCCTCCCGTGTAACGGCCACACGCACCCTGTCCAGAGCCGTGCCCCCTATCCTCGGTTCCTCTCCGGTTCATTGACTCTCGGCCATGTTTACATTAATTTCACCGAGCAATCAAAATGAGTGCGTTTTGATTTTTATTGTGTTTTTTTTACTTTTTTTCATAATGGGCTGCAGCTTTTATGTCACGGTGACCAGCTTCGTTGTTATGGGGGGGGCGGTGTTTGTGTCTCATGATTTTGTATGGTTATTTTTATCTGCCCGACGATGATGATGATGAAGGACGATGGCAAGGTATCCATGGCACCCATGCGCGGACCTGATTGAGGGCACTGACGCTTACCAGACACGGAGAGAGACAGAGACGGAGAGACCGCGCGCTCGGCTAAAAGCACAATGGGAGCCTATTTTACTCTTCACAAGCCAAGCTGCACCGGTTACACAGCACCGCCGCCTAGCGGTTAACAACCCCCTGAACGCTAAATCAAAAAAAACATCTGCCTTCTCTTTGTTTTGCCTTCGCCACGCACGAGGGAATTTCACTTTTCTCAGTCCGTTAGTAAATGCCCGGGCGCTTGGCCACACACACGAGATACGAGCGCCGCCACGTCCGCCGTTGCCACGACGACGACGACGCGATGGCCCCGTCGCCACGTGGCGCTTTTATCACACCGGGGTGGGGGGGTGGAGGGGTGGCAGCCGGGGGGCCAGAGGAAGGGGAACCAACCGCGTGGTGGAGGGGGGGAGTGGGGTGCGGTGTTTTGAGTTTTGCGGATCCAGGCTCTCTCGTAAGCGGTGCGCCGCTCGCCACTTCCCCGTAAGAGGGGACGAAGACACGGGCGCGTGGGTTGTCATTGCTCGCCGACTCGACCGTAGTACCGTGACTGTTGAAGACTCTTGCCGCGTGCCGCTGTGTATTTTGTGTGCAGTATTAAAGGTGACAGTGTTTACAAACCCGCCGCCTTCTCCCCTACACCCCCTGTCACCACCCCGGGCCCCCCACGATCGCCGCGCCACAAGCCGGCGGGAGTGCAGAGTCTGTCCGTGCCCCTGGGGTTTTACCACGAGCCACCATCCGTGGTGACCAACCTGCGTTGCTCGGCACCTACGCACGGAGCTCTTGTCAAGCCGCTGCCGGATGAGGGTCTCCCTGCACCGGCGTGGGTTGTCAGAAGTCCGAAACTTTACCGCTCTCGCCAGCGCGCGGTTGGCGAAGGATGGGCGTGGAGTCATCGTAGAGTCGAAGTCGATGCAGTGCCCTCTGCTGCCCATAACACAGTCCCACACCACGCTGCGCTTGGAAAGTGCACGGTGGTCACCAATCCGATGCTGCACGTAGAACTCCATTTCTTGCTCAGCTTCTGAGATCTGGTGGAGTTGGCGGGCACTTGTGAAGAAGAAACGCGTTTACTCTCATTGGGCCCACCATCACCACCATGCACATGTTTAGTCCACTGCTGGATGATTGCCTCCCGAGTCGTCGCCGTGTCCAGCGTTTCAACAATCGACCAAGCGCAGTGTTCTTCATTGCAAGGCCCGCGGGCCACTGGCGGCAACTGGTGGCAACTGGTGGCCTTTAATTGTGTCCCCTGACGTGCGGCCCCGAACAATGCGCAGCGCGTGAAAACACCGTGCTGCTGTCAAACCCCAATGGTTACAAATGTGTGGCGGCGGCCCTCACACTGATGATGTCTTATCGGCGAAAGTGTCCCCCCTATGACAATTAGTGAAGGGCACTGCCCGAGCGCCTGCACGCGACCTGCTTCCCCTGCGATGGGCATCCTCTGGAGCGTGTCCCCCCCCCCCTCGGCTCTCTCAACCTAGCCACGTGTCCTGCCCGAGCCCCCTTGAAAATTAAACTATTTTAGATTTTACCAAGTAAGGCCCACGGAGCTATGTAGCTCTTTTTCCCAGAAGCGACCTGGCCACAAATGATAGCTCAACGAAGTGGCTTATCACGTGGAAATGTATAGCAGCCAAATACTCTAAACGCGTGTTTATAAATGTGCAGGGGAAAAAAAACCAGAGGCCCCGGATAAAAATTCCAGGCGACCACGGGGAGGACATGCAAACTCCAAATATAGAGCAGGTGTCAAGGTCAGGATGGAACCCAAGACCTCCTCTGTACCAGGCGAGGTAGTTAGCATCTCGCCACGTCGAAACGACGTCCTTAACTTGCGTATGGGCGCTTTCCTAATGATAGAGGAAGTGATTGTGGTTGTAAATGTCCACGTGATGAGCCACTTCGTGGAGATATCATTTGTGGCGCTGTTGTGGGCTTTACCTGGGAGAGAGAGAAAAAACAACATTTTTTGGAGATTGGCCCTCCTCTGCTTCCTCTTCTGCACAGCGCTGCACCCCACAGCCTTGCACAGGCGTCACGCCGCCACTGGTGGCCCAATCCACCAGGTGTGGCCAGGTGCGCATGCGTGCCTGTGGCGTCAGCGTGAACCTGGCCTGGCACAAGAGCCGTGGTGATGTCGCGCAGACACTCGCTGAGGAGGGCGCGGTGGAGTAGTGCTTCGCGCTCAGAACCCGGTCGAGTCGAGTTCGATTCTCGCTCACGGCCAACACCGTTGACGATTATCTGAACTGGTCTTGGGCCTCCCCTTGGCTCAAATGAATACCTGGTGTGTTGTGTAAACATAGCTACGAGTGAGACAAAGGCGGCCGCTGGCCACGCCCCCCCCCCCCCCCCCCCTTGCGGTGCCGTTCCGGCCTTCAAAGGTGCTCGCTCACAGCACTTGCCCCAACGGTGCGTTCGTACTATACAGGGGGATCAGTGTCTTTGTTGTCTCTACAGATACCTGCATGCGGCAGTCACGTCAGACACATTGCCCTAGGGGGAGGGGCTGTGGTCGGGTGCTTGGGTTAGCTGTGGTTGGAGTGCTGTGCTCGTGAGGTCACGCTGAGTTGTGTATGTCGTGATTGGGGGGTGGTGACGGTGGTGGGGGGCTGTGAGGTGTGTGTCGTGATTGGGGGTGTTGACGGTGGTGGGGGGCTGTGAGGTGTGTGTCGTGATTGGGGGGGTGGTGACGGTGGTGGTGGTGGGGGGCTGTGAGGTGTGTCGTGATTGGGGGGTGGTGACGGTGGTGGTGGTGGGGGGCTGTGAGGTGTGTGTCGTGATTGGGGGGTGGTGACGGTGGTGGTGGTGTGTTTCGTGATTGGGGGGTGTTGACGGTGGTGGTGGTGGGGGGCTGTGTGGTGTGTGTCGTGATTGGGGGGTGGTGACGGTGGTGGTGGTGGGGGGCTGTGAGGTGTGTGTCGTGATTGGGGGGTGTTGACGGTGGTGGTGGGGGGCTGGGAGGTGTGTGTCGTGATTGGGGGGTGTTGACGGTGGTGGTGGTGGGGGGCTGTGTGGTGTGTGTCGTGATTGGGGGGTGGTGACGGTGGTGGTGGTGGGGGGCTGTGAGGTGTGTGTCGTGATTGGGGGGGTGGTGACGGTGGTGGTGGTGGGGGGCTGTGAGGTGTGTGTCGTGATTGGGGGGTGGTGGTTGTGGTGGGGGGCTGTGAGGTGTGTGTCGTGATTGGGGGGTGTTGACGGTGGTGGTGGTGGGGGGCTGTGAGGTGTGTCGTGATTGGGGGGTGTTGACGGTGGTGGTGGTGGGGGGCTGTGAGGTGTGTGTCGTGATTGGGGGGTGTTGACAGTGGTGGTGGTGGGGGGCTGTGAGGTGTGTGTCGTGATTGGGGGGCTGTGAGGTGTGTGTTACCCACGCCACCTCCCCCCCACCCCCCCCCCCCCCCGTTCGAGGGGGGTGGGCGGGGTGCCCTTCTTGTGCCGCCGTCCCCGTGACGCAGGCGCGCGGCGCCTCCAGCCGGTCCCGGCGCTCGACGGCTGCTCCCAAGTCGCGGAGGGCCGCTCATCTCGAACGCACCCGAAAGCTTCTCCACTCGAAGCCGTCAATATTAACAATTGATTGGCTTCCGGGTTAGCCGAACGAATGCAGCATCACACGGTCGCGCTCGTTACACACAAAGTGCCCGCAACAAATGAACCACAGTAACCTTTGGCAGATCTCGTCAAGGAGCGTAAACCGTGACGCAAACAACTGCGGTCATCCTCGCAGCAGAGGCTTTTGGTTAACCGTCGGACAAAGACGGCGGTCACCGCATGGCGCGCTTTCAGGTGCGCGACGCGACCGGCTGGAACGCTCTTCCGGAATTAGGATGCCACTGGGAGCTGTGGACTTTTACATCACCTCGATTGAAAACGCATTTCTTGAGAACTCCTTTTCGTGTATAGTTTGTCGTCTTTACCCCCGCCCTTCCGAATAGCGCGGTTGGCTACGTACCGTGCGAAAGAAGTTCGGCATACAACAGCAGCGGCACCGCTACCGCGGGTCCAGTCCGCATGTTTGTCCGGCAAGGAAAATGCGGAATGTCTCGATGGGCAACAATGAAGGGAGTCACCGGCGAGACGTGGACTGTGCCGTACAGCTTGCCCGCTTGCTGCAGTGCCGGCTCCGTGGCTTTTCTCTGTCGCGTTTTCCTGCTGTGCTCGCTGCTGCTCCGTTACTTCTTCAGCCGGCATCTCGCACAAAATCGCCCTTCGCAAGCGAGCTGAACTCCTGCGAACCCATCACTGAATTGTCACGCTAAACGGTGATGCACAGACCCATTTGCGGAGCTCATCAGTGGATGTATGCTCCCTGCCATTACATTTTCAAGTCCTATGGCCGCGAAGCCATTCGAGGACATTCATTTAATTTAGCGTGGTTTTTTTCCCCCTTCTTTTAACGAGAACAGCGCACGTGACCGCTCTAAACTGTTGACGGAGCCAGTAATTGAGTGCTCTGAAAGCGACCAATGGGGGCCCCTACATAGATTTGCTTGTTTGGCCCGATATTGCCCAGTTTATTAAATACAACACCAGCCGCGTTAAATGCACGTCCAATGAGTGTTGTTGTTGTTCTGCAGCAGCTGCTGCCGCACGCGGTGTGAAAACCGCTCGCCCGTTCTGGCCCGTACACCCTCGGCCGCCCAGAGGGTTTGCACAGTGGTCTGTTTTGGGCATCTGTGCGGACAAAAAACGCTTCGTAGCTTATCGGATTCCTCCGGTCTAAACGAGGATCCTGAATGGCACGAGAAGGGCCTGCGAATTCACGTTTTTTCGAGCTCAGTCGCCAAATGGCTGCTGAAACAGGAGCCCCAAATTCAGCTCGTTCCGCCTTCTGAAAGTTTCCGGCGTGTTCAGTTCGATCGGCCACGTCGACGATCGGGGGGGGGAGGGGGGGAGGGGGGGGCATGTGAGAGGGGCCAGCAACAACCACTGCGTGGTGGATGAAGGGGGCACTCGCGAAGGGGGGCGTCTCGACGATGGAAAGAGTTGGCAACAGAGAGTCCTCTTCTTGGGACTGCTCTCCAGCTTGGTTTTAATGTCACGCAACTTGTAATATAATTGGCACTTCGATGGTGAGGGCGAAATTAGATTTGCCGTACGTCTAATTTCAAGCGCTGCATGTCGCGCTTAACGCTCCAGTTTCATGTCGTTGAAGTCATTTAAAATCCACCTTTGAGAGATATATTCAGTGTACCCAGATATGTCATTATTCCGGATCCAGTCGCGCATTCGCTTCAAGGAACGACCCAAAATATGTTTTCAAAATTTATTTAGCGCATTTTCAAAGGCGCATTACAGCGATTATAACATTTTACAGTCGATGGCAATGGTTTTGAGATGAAGAATGGGGTTATTATTATTACAAGTGGTGGTGTCGTTTTAGTTTGTGGGGGGGGTGAGTAACGGAAAACTGGGGGGGAAGAAAAATATTTAGGCATCGTCGCATTGGGAAGACAAAGGGGGTCGGCCAGGGGCGGGAGCCTGGCGGAGGGAAGGTGGCCACCGAGAGGGCCACCGAGAGGGCCACCCTCGAGCCAAACCTCTGCACCGCCGACGACGTCCGCACAGTGGGATGACTCGCACAGTACTATATAGAACTCTCTAGACTCATACA